CCTCCTGGATTCACGGCTGTCCTTAGAAGAGCACTTGATGGCCGTGACAGGGAGGATTTTTCATCAGGTTCGCCTGATCCGCCAGTTGCGTCCCTTTCTAGATTGGGACTCTCTACATACAGTCACTCACACCCTTGTCACCTCTCATCTGGACTATTGTAACACTCTCTACATGGGGCTCCCCTTGAAGTACACTTAGAGGTGCCAACTGGCGCAGAGTGCGGCTGCGCGGGTGGTTATGGGAGCAACATGGAGTTCCCATGTAACACCTCTCCTGCGCAAGCTGCACTGGCTCCCAGTGGTCTTCCGAGTGCACTTCAAGGTTCTGGTTATCACCTTTAAAGCGCTCCATGGCTTAGGATCTGGTTATCTATGGGACCGCCTGCTACCACCAATAGCCTCCTACCGGCCAGTACGCTCCCATAGAGAGGGGCTCCTCCGGGTGCCGTTGGCCAAACAATGTTGACTGGCGGCCCTTAGGGGGAGATCCTTCTCTGTGGGGGCACCTACGATCTGGAACGAGCTCCCCCCCGGAGATACGGAGGATCCCGGATCTGCACATCTTCCGTCGCATGCTTAAGACTTTCCTATTCCATCAAGCTGGCCTGGCCTAAATCTTCTCCCCTTTTTAAATGTAAATTTTTAAATGTAAATTTTAATTTGTTTTAAATTATGGGGTATTTTAAATTCAGCCAAATTATTTAATTCGTTTTTAATTCTTCTTCTTCTTCTTCTTCTTTTTTTTTGTATTTATATGTTTTATCTCGTGGCTGTTCACCGCCCTGAGTCCTAGAAATTTAATAAAATAAATAAATAAATAAATAAATAGAAATGGCTTGTTCATATTATTATGAAAAAGCAAAAAGCTGTGATTTTACTGCAACAGAGACAGTCGGAAGTCAATGCTTCCTTTTCTTATTTTCTTATCCTTCCTCACTTCTCTTCCCTCTCCCTCTCTCTGGGATTTTTTAATTGTCTTGGGCTAAATTATTTAATCTGGTTTTAATTATGTCTTTTAACTTTTGTATCTATGTGTTTTATTTTGTGCCTGTCCACCGCCCTGAGTCCTTCGGGAGTAGGGCGGTATATAAATCTAATTAAAAAAACAAACAAAAAAACCTGGGCATCACACTTGGCTGCTAGTGTTATTGTATAGCATTTTGACCCAGTCAATGAGTGGTTCAGGTACTCCATGATCCTGGAGGGCATACCAGATCAGTTGGTGTGGGACATAGTCAAATGCCTTCTCCAGGTCCAGGAATGCCATGTGTAGTGGTTGTCTCTTCTCACAGTGTGTCAAGGTAATGATTTAAGAACTGACTAGCTGCTACAATGATAGGAATGCTATCCTGACTGCTAGGAATGAGTCAGCAAGGGTTTTGGGCTGATATCACTTTAAGAGCCTATAATAAGAAGAGGCCCTGTTAGGGCGTATCTCTCTCTCCATGTGTGCTTCCGTGCTGTAATTGTTGATTGCTGTTTGTTTGAGGTATGACTAAAGTGCATGTATGTATATATTCTTCATAGATAAAACCACTTTTTAAATAAAAACCTCTGTTTATTGTATTTGCTTCCGAGTTGTCTCACATAGTCACTGTGTGCACTCTGACAGGTTATGGGCCCAGTTCAGAGAGAAGACCAGAGTGACTAAAGAAACCAGAGAGAAACTCAGTGAGAGCTTGCACCAGAGGTGTTGCACATCATGGTTTGTTAGTGGTTAGTGCTTGTAATGGAAACAAGCAACATGGATCTCCAGAGATGCTGCCCTGAGAGAAGAAACAGAGGAGCAGCAAGACAAGGGCGTACGGCTACCCCACACATGAGGAGTGGTTCTTCATTGTCATCCTTTTCCCTGGCAGCAACAGCTTCTGAAAACATTAGAAACACCTGGTTGTTGGACAAAAAGGAAAAATGTAGACAAGCATCTGGGATATGTTACAGCATTTGGATTAACAGCTGTTCAGCTTTAAATGGGAGGAGTATCAAGGTAATGATTTAAGAGCTGACCAACTGCCATGATAGTAATGCTAGGCAAGAGTCAGCAAGGTTTTTGGGCTGATATCATTTTAAGAGCCTGTAATAAGAGGCTCTGTTGGGATGTATCTCTCTCTGTGTGTGCTTCCGTGCTGTAATTGCTGTTTGCGGTTTGTTTGCGTTTTGACTAAAGTACATGTATGTATATATTCTTTGTAGATAAAACCACTATTTAAATACAAACCTCTGTTTACTGTATTTGCTCCTGGGTTGTCTCACATAGTCGCACTGTACGCACTCTGACACAGTGTTCCTCTATGAGCTAAAGGGCTGCAAAGATGGCATCAGTTGTTCCACATCCTTTAACGAAGCTGCATTGGTTGATGGTGAGTTGGGCCATGCAGTGAATGTTTTGACCAAAGATTCTCTCAAAGATCTTCATAATGTGAGACAGAAGGTGGATTGGGTGATAGTTGGCACAGTCAGCTGAGTCACCCTTGTTCTTGAAGATGGGAACTGTTACACTTGTTGACTAATCAGTTGGTACATGGCCAATGTTCATTACAGCATTGAAAAACTCAGTCAGCTGAGTGGAATGGGTCCATGGATTGGTGTGCCTTCTGGAATTAGTGGATATGGGAATTCAGTGTTGGAGATCTCATTGAAATGATCTTGCCATTGTTGCAGGATCTCCTGATTGTCTTGGAGTCATTTGCCATCCTTGTTCTTCATGCACATGTAATGCTCAAAATGTATGAAAATCTATTTTGACACTATTTTATATGCATTTTTCTAATTTTCAGTGAGCACTTAATTTGTTTTACAAATGTTTACAAATATGTTGACTTAAAGTATCAGTTTATAATGGCAGAAAATTGTGTTTAGTTGTTTTTTTAATTTGACTTTAAAAAATATATCTACCTCATTTGCAAATCAAATATAAATAGGAAAGAATCTTTATGATGTCAAATGTAGAAGAAAAATAAACTGATTATATAGGCAAAGATGTTCATGAATATCTGGTACAAATCATAAAAATGATGCAATGTCCATTGTGACATCACAATTTAAATTCTATAGAACTTTCCATTTATATCTCAACACAGACAAGTATGTAAATAATGTGGTTTGTGTCATGAAGCCACATTTTGGAATTGCACATTTTATCTTTTGTCACTTCTTCTCTGTACACATACACCAATGGCGGGTTGCCCCTGGTTCGGACCGGTTCTATAGAACCGGTAATAAAACTGGAGGGAGGCTCCACCCACTGACCCTGATGTCATCAGAAGTGATCTGCGCATGCACAGAAGCAAGGTGTGTGCACGAGCAAAGCAAATACGCACATACGCTCCCATTGCAAGCTGGTAATAAAGGTAAGTAGAACCCACCCCTGACATAACCCATGCTTATGGAAGGGATTTGAGTGTTTAGGCAGCTTCCCCAATCTTTGCATCCTCTAAATATGTGGCCTTCAAATCCCAGAATTCTCAGCAATGGTCATGCTAAGAATTGTGAAAGTTACAGTTCATTTTTCAGCATGGAAGATTGATTGAATTCTAAAAAGGAAATATAATTTTGAATCTGAATATTCATCTATCTGCTGAATTAGGCTTGATGTTTCTCTCTTTTCTGGGAATGGAGGTTTTCATTTTTGACAGCTATACAATAGATGGACGCAAGTTTTTTTCAGTTCTAGCAAAATCAATGGAAAAAAACAGATTTCTTAATGACCATCTGGTTTACTCAACAACTGTAGTTATTCACTTAGCAACTTTTCAAATGGTCAGAAAAGCAGGCATGACTCACTTAACAACCTCCTTTTAGCAATTGAAATCCTGGTTCCAGTTGTGGTCATAAATTGAGGATTACCTGTAGTTGAGGATTCCCCCCCCCCTCTTTCTTCTTTTTAACTAAGAACTAAAATATTGAAGAAAAATGGGAGGATTTTGTCAGGCCCGGATAGGGGCAATGTCTTTGGTAGAAAGCATGACACCAGATGCTGTTTTTTAGTCGCTACATTTGCTACTCCAGTGTAACACAAAACTGAATGAAAATAGGGTTACCTGTATTCAGAACTTTTTGTCTTCTCCCAATGTGTCTTTCAAATCAGTGGGTCATAGTGTGCCTTATGCAACACTGAAGCACCAAGTGTGCTAATAAGAAAATTAAGCTTTCAATTTAATAGATTATTAATGAATAGTCCTTTTGTTTCCTAGCTAGAGGGGGAAGTGCTTTCTGGAGAACATATACAAGTAAGGATTGTGAAGTGTGGAACAGCTGTGTTAATGTGTTATGGGACATGTTATGTGATACTGTATGTTACAGAGGAAAGGTGAAAAGATGTGCATTAATGGAGCAAGGAAGGAAAAAAAGAGGTTTGTGTGTGTGTCTGTGGCTGAATACTGCCCAGCTTTCCTGCTGAGATGTGTTGCTGCAGTCTCCAATAATCCCACCTAATGGGAAGCTATGAAACATGAGTGTCCAATCTTTTGGCTTGTCTGGACCGCACTGAGTGAAAAGGAATTGCTTTGGGCCACATATAAAACATATAATCTAGTTAATGTACATAAGGAGCCTTGGTAGTACAGTGGTCTAAAGCACCCTGTTATTAAGATCAGCTGCCTGCAATTACTGCAGGTTCGAATCTCGCCAGGCTCAAGGTTGACTCAGCCTTCCATCCTTTCTAAGGTAGGTAAATTGAGGACCCAGTTGTGGGGGCAATAAGCTGACTTTGTATAATTATACAAAAGTATGAAGGCTATTGCTTAGCACATTGTAAGCCGCCCTGAGTCTCCGGAGAAGGGTGGCATATAAATCAAATTAAAAAAAAAAAACAAGCTTCTTTTTTAATTTATTATTTATTTGTTTACTTTTCACATCTTAATGCCCCATCTCCCTCAGGGAGAGGCTCTTATAAACCTTATTTGGCTGCATCACTAACTGTCCAGGGCATGCGGCCCGTGGGCCGTAGGTTGGATATAACTGCTATAGAAGCTTCTGAAATCAGCAGTTGGACAAGAAATACTTGTAGACTTGAACAACCATCTTAAAAAAGGAAAACAGAAAAATAGATCTAGTTTCTTTATGCAAATACTTTGTTCAAGAGTTATAGAATGTTACTTTAAATCTGTTGACTCTTCTTGCTTAGATTTGCTTTACCTGCAAGTAGAAGAGGTGTAAATATAAATATAAATAATATAAGTATAAATATAAATATAAATATAAATATAGGAGGTGCTTAGGTGTCCCTAAGCAGACAGTAGTGGTATCCGTTAATGATTATAGTAGCTTTAACATGTTTAAATGTTTTGAAAGGCTGGTGTTGAACTATATTAAGGCTAGTCTTCCATCTACTTTGGACCCATACCAATTTGCATATAGATATGCAAATCAACTGATGATGCTATGTCTCTTGTTGTCCATACTGTATTGAATCATTTGGAACAACAAGGGACATATGCAAGGCTGTTATTTGTGGATTATAGCTCTGCCTTTAACACCATTTTACCCAACAGGTTGTTTTTTTAAAATGTCCAATTTGGGTATAAATCAGAGGATTTGTTTGTGGATAAGGGATTTTCTGACAGATAGGCCACAGTCTCACCATTCCTCTACTCCAGGGGTCCTCAAACTTTTTAAACAGGGGGCCAATTCACAGTCCCTCAGACTGTTGTGGGGGCTGGACCGGCTGGGTGGTTGTAGCTAGGTGGTCTTGTGACTGGGGTGTGTGGCTAGATGGCCTTGTGACTGGGTGGGTACGGCCAATTTAGCAGTCCATTAAACAATACATACACATGAAACTTTCATTTGTTTTGCTCCTAGGAGTGTTTTATTTGCTTTTGTTTGCATGTTGCTCTTTTGGTTGGCTTTTCTTTTTACTAGATCGTTTTTTAAGTTGTTTAGTGGTCCACTTCAGAATACTCAATTTTGCAGCAATTCTTCTCAACCCCTAGGAGCTTACACTCTCTCTCTCTCTCTCTCTCTCTCTCTCTCTCTCTCTCTCTCTCTCTCTCTCTCTCTCTCTCTCTCTCTCTCTCTCTCTCTCTCTCTCTCTCGGCATCTTCTGCAGGATCTTCTGCATGAAATCCCTTGCTAGGTTTTTCTCAATGAATGTTCTCAGCTCTTCCAACTCCCTCGGTGACATGCTGTACATCTTGGGTTTAGGGAGTTTCGTGCCGGGTAAGATTTCTATCGCACAGTCGGTGGCACAGTGGGGGAGGGGGGGGAGCTCATCTGAGGCTTTTTCGCTAAAAACCTCAGCTAAATCCTTGTATTCTATGGGTATGCCCTCAGTTGGTATAGCATGACCAGGCATGGCTGTTTCTCAATTCTCTGCCCCATCTGTTCCTTTATGTGGATTCTCAGCAAAAGTCACATTCATCTGAAATTTTATGATGCCTTGTTTTCAATTGATTTTTGGGTTCCATTTTTTCAGCCATGCAAGGCCCAGAACCAACGGCCATTCCATGCCAGGAGCCACTATAAATGTAAGCATTTCCTCATGGCTTCCAATACCTATATGTAGAGGCTTGGTAGCAAAAGAAGCTAGCTTCCTTCCTGCTATTGACCCATCTAGTTGGCAGAACGCGATGGGATTTTTCAGCTTTCTTACGTTAGTCCCTAACTTCCCTACTAGGGTTGGGCTGATCAAACAACGGGTGCACCCTGAATCCACTAGAGTGGAGATATTTATCTCCCTGTCCTGGTTTGGGATAAATAGTCTTAAAGGGAGGGTAAGCAGTTTAATTGGTTTGCTTACCAGTGGTTCATCATCTGGATCACTTCCGAATGAGTGTGATTTCTCCTGTTCAGATGCCAGGGTTTCCTCCCTAAAGAGGGTAGGGGATGGAACATCTATGCTCCTCAGGGCAGTTTCCTTCCCACACCGACCCGGTTTTTCAGGGTTCTCCCCCGATGGGTGGTTCCGGGTGGGTGTTTGCGAATGACACTCTGCAACTCAGTGCCCCTCTTTTCCACACTTGATACAGGCTGAAGATCTTGGAGAGAATGCAGTTTGTGGTTTGAGGGGCTCTTGCTTCCATTGGGGTGGGGATTTCTTCCATGCTCGCCCCACTCGATACTGGTTTCTGGCTATATTGATCTCAGCTTCTTTGGCAGTGACATACCATTCATATAGGTCATCGGTGCATCTCAGGCCACGCAGGCATTGTATAGATCATCACTCAGCCCATCCTTGAAATAGCTCATTAAAATATCTTCCGGCCAGTGCACATGGCACACGGGATCCCGGAATTCTTCAGTATACTCTGCTACTGGCTGTCGCCCTTGCTTCATCACCTTAATGTGGTTGTGTGCTTTGTGATCTACTAATGGATCCTCAAACTGATATCACAGGGCCATCATGAAATGGTTGAAATCCCGCAGTTCTGGTGCATTGGCGTTATGCAGGGTCACCATCGATCTGGCAGCAGCACCCTCTAGGACTAGAGTCACAACTCGCACTTGGGAACCTTGGGTTTGGAAATCATGCCCATACTCTTGCATGTAGGTGAGCACGTGTGCCACAAAGAATCCTAATTGCTGCGGATTCCCATCAAACTTCACCCCAAGGGGGGGGGAGTTTCTCTTTCCAGTTGCGGGACTCAAGGCTGGTTGGGAATGGGCACCAGTGTGCGTGCAGCCAGGTGGGGGAGGATTTTCTGGGTCTTCTCCCACTGCTGCTGCACCATCTGCTCAATAGGCAGGCTCCAGGAGGGGGGTACCTCCCGTGGCATCATCTGCGACTGCTCTCCTTTCTGCACCCTTTGGTTGTTGTCCTGGCTCCCTTCGGATGTTGAGGTTTTCCAAAGTTTCCATCACCAATTGGGTTATATGCCTCTTCAAATAATCCTCCCCCAGTGGTACTTCGGTCAGTACCCCCTGGTCAGCAAGGGCTTCTAGTTCCAGTTTCCACCCCGGTTTTCGATTGCCATGGTTGAGGGTGACTCCTCTGGATTTCTCCTCCCAGATATCTTTCTTCCCGATGCCAATTGACCAGCGGGGCTTTTCAGGATTCTCCAGGGTTACCTCAACCTCTCCGATGGGGTGTACGAAATAGGCATCCGACTGGGTGGCGGTTGATGTCTCCCCCCAGCAATCGGTTTCTCCCATTTCTCTGTTTCGTTCCGACATGGTTTGCAAGGTCCCCTCAATAGAGCGAAGTTTGCTTCTCTGGGTTGACCATTTTGCAGATCTTGCTTTCTGTAAGAATCAGCTCTCCTTCTAACTTAAGAAAGTGAGAACTCTTGAAACGTGGTTTTTAAAAACTTTTCTTTTATTAAGCAGAAGTGACAGCCATCCAGTTAAAGCAAGATCTGAATACCCTTAGGCAAGGCAGTAGGATTAAAGTGGAAGAGACCCCTCCCTTTAAGTCAGAATGCAGATTTTAACCAATACACAAGTGTGAAGATGTTTTCTTTACTAGTTTCTCTGAGAACCCGAACAAACATGCGTTCCCACCATTATCCTTTAAAGTGAAACAACCCACATGGCTATCATAAAAATTCCTGCAGGTAAAGGGGATCTCAGGGCTGTTTGGCACCAGGATATAGATTGTAAAATATCTGTTGACACAGGCAATGCTAGTAAATTGAATCCAAGTGTCCCCCCTCCTCTGATTGAATGGCAGAATCACTTAAGGATCTGACACACTGCTGCCTGATAATATAATTCCCAATTCGGTAATCCATACCCTCCCCTAGCTCTTACGTCTTGTAACATTTTTAGATTGATTCTCGCTTTTCCCCCCTGCCATATATATTTCACTATTATCTTATTAATATCGTATTAATATTTAATTTATTTGGTATATATAAGTTAAGATGTACGTAATTTAGTTTTCTATTATATGATCATTATTTCCAAATGTTTTCTTGTATTGGGAGTCTATACAACTCTTCAAATTTCACTTTCCAATATCGTTATATAAAGGATAGGAGAATCAATTAGGGAGGAGAGGGAAAAAACTAGTATTTTAACAGCTCATTGTTCTTTTCTTATTGTTATTAAATCTGTTACTGAATTAATACGTATATATGTAATATTATAACCAATGAATATCAATATTTACTATAGACAACAATATAGCTAATAAAATATGTATAGTCACTTTATGCACACTGGGATATTAAGTAAAGTTAATCTAAACTTGTAATTTCTAAATAATATAAGTGTTCCAAATCAGTAGTTAAGCATAGGAATAAATATATTAAATGTGTTTAAGACTGTGTCAATCTATCAATATTTCAATATATAAGTCTATTAATTAATATAATTAATGCAATTTATCAGAATAAATATTAAGTAGATGGAATATTTGAATAGTATGACTAAATATTATTGAAATTAATATTTACCACAATGTCTATATCAATAATCAGTTTATCTAATTTATCTAAATAAGCAACAAGTAAATAATATTAAAATTTCTTAGTATTAATATCCACCAATACTATTTATCAATCAATTATCAATTATACCACAATCAACAATTATTAGTAATTGTTCTATTATTTTGCTAAAGATAATCAGGTATATACTGATTATTTAGTTAACTATACACTTGCCATACAATTTTCCTTCACTCTTGCATCATCTTCTGCTTAGTCATCTGTACAGTTCTTTGTCCAGGCACTCTTAGACTATCTCTCGCCAAAAGTATCCAACTGTCCAAATCACCAAATGTCTGGGTTCAACACTTTAGAGTATCATGTTCAAAAATTGCTGCTTTCCACTTCAATTCTCTCCTTATTTCTGTCCAGTCACCATTTCTCCAATTACCGTTATTTTACTTTGCTCACTGTCTCTCACCTGATAGCCTCCGTCTATCTGTCTCACAGTCCTTAATCTCGGCCCCTGTGCTCCTGTCACTCGCTTTACTTTCTAGTCCAATTCTCCTCTCGATCGATGTCTCGTTGTCTCTGTTGAAATTTCTTTCCCCTTCTTTGTCCTTCTCTCACTCTCGGCTCGCTTTGCTTGGAATCCACACCTGTCAAATTTCCTTCTTTCTCCTGACGCTCGCTCTCCTCACTGATCTCCAAGTATTTCTGCTCAGTTCACACTTCAGATCCAGCTCTCCTTCCTCAAATCCATTTGTATCTTTTATAATCCACATTCTCCCCCGATCAAAGTCCGAGTCCAAGTATGGCACTGGGGTTTTC